CAAAAGGAGCCGAGGATGCATGGATGGGGCAAACCCCAAAGGCCTTTTCAAAAACTACGAACAGCTGGGTGGGTGGCTGGGCGGGTGGCTGGGCGGGGTGGGCTAGCAGCCCCCCGCCACGAAGTCGAAGTCCCGGAAGGCGGCCTGCTCCTTGGCCGAGAGCGGCCGCGCGTCGCGGGGCGGGCTCAGCGTGGGCGCCTCGCCCGTGAACTCCTCGTCGAAGTTGCTCACGTCGGTGCGGCCGGACAGCGTGGGCACGAAGGGCGGCGGCAGGCGCCGGGCCAGCAGGGCGTCCCAGCCCAGGGTCTGCGGGCGGAGGGCGGTCAGCGCGAGGCTGGGGCGCGCGAGGGGCTGGCCCCGCGCCCGCCCAGCCCAGGGTCTGCGGGGATCGGGGTGCGGCGTCAAAGACGGGGGGAAAGTGGGGTCCTGGGGGCTCAGGGCGGATGACAGCGAGTGCGGGGCCTGCTGGTCGGGGGCGGCCTGGGCTCCTACACAGGGCAGTGCCCCCACCAGGCCAGCGGGGAGGAGCGGGGTGTGGGGGCAAGGAACGGGGTCTCGGGACGGTGTTGGGGGTGAAGCCCTCGCCCCGAGGGCGGCCTCACCCTGAAGAAGGGCTGTTTCTTCACGTCCTCTGCGTCCCTCTCGCTGGACCCCAACCTCCGCTCCGGGTTCCTCCGCAGCAGCTGGGGGGAGCGCTGTGTCGGTGCCCTCCCGCCCGAGCCCTCCCAGGCCCGCCCGGGGGGGGGGGGCGGGGTCCTCACCCTGCGCATGATGCCCACGGCCTCGGCCGACAGGAAGCGCGGGTAGCGCACCTCGTCGTTGACAATGCTGTCGAACACCTCCTCCTCGTCGTCCCCTGGGAAGGGGGACTGCGCACGGGGAGGGCGGGGTCAGGCACCGCCACGCCCGGCCCGCCCAGCCCTCTGCCCACGGGCTCCCGTGGGAGGGTGAGTGCCCCGCTTTACAGACGTGGAAACTGAAGCCACGGGGGCAAAGCCACGGCCCCGATCAGAGCGTGTGGTGCAGGCAGCTTCCGACCCCACTGCCGGGCGCGCACAGGCTCCAGGACCCCCCGGAGCCAGGCCCGGCGGGCAGCCTGGGGCCTCACCTCCCCGACCAGCATCTCGTAGAGCAGCACGCCCAGGCCCCACCAGTCCACCGCGCGCGTGTACGACGTGTCCGTCAGCACCTCGGGCGCCAGGAACTCGGGAGTCCCGCAGAACGTGCTGGTCCGGTCGCCGTAGCCCATGCCTGGGGGCAGAGGGCACGGGGGGACATGGGGAGGGGGCTCGAGCCCAGCCCAGCACCGGGTGGGCCGGCCAGCCCTGTCCCAGGGCCAGGGTCGGGGGCGACTCGGGCACGGTAGGCTTCCATTCCCACACACCCCCAATCCCCAAGGGCCAGCACGCCCCCCAGCCCCGTCCACCCCTCACCCTCCTTGCAGAGGCCGAAGTCTGCGATCTTGACGTAGCCCTCCGTGTCCAGGAGCAAGTTGTCCAACTTCAGGTCCCTGTGAGCGGTTGGGGGTAAGGAGGGCCGAGTGGGCACCGGGCCCTCCCGAGGCCTGAGCCCTGAGGGCAGGGCGCGCACGCACCTGTAGACGATCTTGTGTTCGTGCAGAAACTGCAGCCCCAGCACCACACAGGCCGAGTAAAAGCTGCAAGGGAGGCTGGTGTGAGGGGCGGCCCGCAGGGCAGCGAGGGCAGTGAACCCGGCTTCCGCACCCGCAGCAGCCCCCACCCCAGAACTCCAGGAGCTGGGCGGGTGCGGGGCGGGGGGGCTCACACGGCGCGGGGCTCCGAGAACACGTCGCTGTGGATGTGCAGCATCAGGTCCCCGCCGGCCGAGTACTCCATCACGAAGCACACGTGCTCTGGCGTCTGGAAACAGCCGAACAGGTTCACCAGGAAGGGGTGGCCCGCGCTGGTCACCGCTGCCAGGATCCGCTTCTCACACATCAGGCTGGGTGGGTGGGGGCGGGGTCAGAGACCAGTCGCTCCCTTCCCCCAGCTCTCACTCCCCTGCCCCCCCCTCCACCTCCCGCAGTCCTCAGTCATCAGATTTGTTGAGGACCTCCAGTGGCTGTGCAACCTTGGGCAAACTGCTTAATATCTCCGAACCTCAGCAGCCCCATCTGCTGAACGGGCACCTAGAATCCATCCAATGTCCTAGTAACAGTCCCCCAACCTCCCTTTGGGGAACCAGGGGTGGGCCGACTGGAGCACCCCATCTCTCTGGCCAGGAATGGGTTCAGGAATGGGGAAGCCAAGCCAATGTCTAGATTTCTGCTGGAATTATTAAGAATGAAGGGCTAAAGCTGGTGAATGGTCCTTAAACTGCTGGGGTGGAAGAAATCTCTGTCTCCAGGAGGGGCCTGCAAGCAAAGACCATACAGAGGAAAGCAGAACTGAGAGACATCACCTGAGCACCTGGATACAGCCATGCCTGAAGGCAGAACAGCCCTGGACTTTTCTGATCCAGAGCAATAAATTCCTCTATGTGCTTAAGGCTGTCTAAGTTGGGTTCCTGATTAATAAAAGGGTGTCAGGAAGATTGGGGACCATCTCAGTGCCTCTCCTGGGCATTTACAGGTGGCCAGGCACTGTGCAAAAACGCTCTAGGTGCTCCTCTCAGTTAATCCACCCAGTGGCCGTGCAAGAAAGGCATTATTACTCCCCTTTTCTGGATGGGGAGGCCAAGGTTCAGTAGGGCATCGTGACTTCCCCAAGGTGTTTGAGCACATCTGTGGCAGAGGAAGGATTTGAGCCCAGGGCCCTGACCCCAAAGCAGGAGCAGTGCACAGTCACGATTAACAGCACGGGCTCCAGACTCAAGTCCTTCCGTTTGAATCCTGGATCTGCTGCTGACTGGCTGTGCGACCTTGGGCAACTTGCTTAACCTCTCTGTGCCATCAGCAGAATGGGGACAGCAACAGTATTTACCTCCTGGAGCTGTTGTGGGGACACAAGAGTTGCTGACTATAAAGCACATAGTGGGTGCTTTCTAAGAGTTGTTATTATCTTAAGTACTAGCTTAACCAGTGCGAGTGACTGTTACCAGTCCCCCTCAGAGCGGCTCCAAGGAGGGGCTGCTGTCTCCCACTCCCCAAAGGAAAGACCGAGGTTCTCAGAGGGCCTGCGCGAGGTCCCACCTCTCCACCTCGTCCCGCGCCACAATGTCCCCTTTCTTCAAAGCCTTGATGGCGAACAGCTCCCCGCTGGGCTGGAGTTCGGAGAGCAGCACCTGGAACCACAGGGGGGGCTCCAGCGGCCAGCACAGGGCCTGGGATCGGTGTCTCCAGCCCACCCCTCGCCCCTCACCTTCCCAAAGTGCCCTCGGCCCAGCACCGCCAGGAACTTGAAGTCCTCGAGGGTCAGGGGCGACTTCCGCAGAGGGCTGTGGAGAGAGTACATTGGTGGGAGGGGGGCAGGGGGTGGGGGGACAGCGGTGGGTGGAGGAGGCTGTCACCTGCACAGGGTGGGGCCTGGGGTCTCCTGGGCCTCTGAAGGAGGGCGGTCGGGAGTGGCGGTCATTTCCTGGATCGGGGACCTCTGCATTGGAGAGAAGGGGTCAGAGTGAGGGAAGGCAGAGGAACCCCATAACCACGACAGCCACCAAGGCCCCCTCTCACCTCACCTGTCACCCCACTTGCCTCCCCGCTCATTCCCCTCCTGCCACACTGTTCCTCTCACTGTGCCCTGAACACACCAGGCATGTTTCCACCCCAGGACCTTTGCACAGGCTGGTCCCTGCAGCAGGAATGCTCTTTTCCCAACACCTGCACGGCCCCTCCGTCACCTCCTTCAGGCCTTATTCAAATGTCGCCTTCCCAGGTGGTCAGCTGGTAACTAACAGAACCCCCCAGAAGTCCCCATCCCCCCCCACTGCTTCATGTTTCTCCTCAGCACATTTCACGCTGTAAACATATTTTATCACTTATCTACTTATTCCCTTTATTGGTATGAGCCCTGTGGAGCCTCTTAATTCTTTACACCACATGCATATACAACCATGAGAAGAATCAAAATCAATATTTAAATGGAAAAAGAAAATTACCTACTGGTCCATCATCCTCCACTATAGACACAGTTCTAAAAATTCCATCAGTGCAAACAGGGGTATGATGGGAAACATCGTCCTCTCCTGCCCCAGCTGCGCCCCCAGAACCAGCAGCCGTTTATGATTTCCTAGGTACCTTTCTACATATATTCCAGACCCATACAAGCAAAAGCGCCAGTACGGGCTCTGCTTTTCTTGTGCCCACTACTGACAATATTCCAATCTTGTATCTCCCACTAGACAAGCTGTCTGGGAAACCATTCTAGGCCAGCACAGAGACCAGCCTCCTTTTTCACCACTGCGTACTATTCCATGTCGTCATTTAGTTAGCAAGGGTTCCTAGATGGACCCTGCGGTCGTTTCCACTCTTGCCCACACAAAGCTGCTGTGGTGAACATCCTGGCTGTGCGTGCGCGGGAACGTCGAGACAGACATCCAGGAGTGGAGCTGCTGGGGCAAGGCTGCGTCCACCTGTACCTCAGCCAGCTACGCCCTCCCAAAAAGACACGGCACTTCACGTCTCCCAACTGCATGCTTCCCTTCGTCCTCTTCAGCATGGGGTGTTATTAAACTTTTGGATTTCTTTGCCAAACTCATCTAATCTCATCTCACTTGATGCCACGAAGCATATATTATTCTTATTTTCATTTTTAAGAAATGAGGTATGAAAAGCACTCGGCGAGGTGGGAGAGGGACCAGCTCTTACACACGCGTGCACCCGGGCACCCACGGCCGAGACCAGGTTTCCAAACACTGCGTGTTGTATGTGGTCTGCGAGTGGGTGGGAAAAAGTCAACAGGAGAATAACATTTTGTGACCCGTGAAAGTGATGTGACACTCGAGCTTCCGCGCCGCTCAGCGAGGCCCCCCAGGGACCAGCACGCCGTTCGCAGGCGCCAGCGCCGTGCAACTGCACCGCAGCAGCGGGGAGTAGTTGCGCCTGTGACCTCCGGCTCACAAAGCTGAAAATATTGACTCTACGGCCCTTTAGGAAAAAGTCCACTGATCTCTGACCCAGAGCAAGACGCAGAGCATTCCCACCTCCCCACAGGGTCCCGTGTGTCCCCTCCAATCAATGCCCCCCAGAGAAGACCACTACCTTGACTTCTGTCCTCGACATGAACGGTGAACGTGCTTGTTTTACAGGGCAGCGCACTGAGCACAGAGAGGCGAAGCCGCGTGCCGGGGCCACACAGCTAGCCGGCGGCAGAGCGGGGATGGGGACATGGGAGCCTGGCTCTCGAGCCCACGCTTTTGTCCCAGACAGAGAACTGGGCCCCAGTTCTGGCAGAGATGTGCTGTGTGACCCAGGGAAGTTCCTGGAGGTCTCTGGGCCTTGAGCCGGGCGGCCAGGCCTAGGGGAAAGGGGGAGACTCACCAGACTCGACGGGCTGGAAGGAGGACCCCGAGGGCTCCTCTGGGGTGAGCTGTCCCAGTCAGCCCCCAGACTCAGCTTCTCCACGGATATGTCGCTGCAGGACAAGGGACGAGGGTGTGTCTGGGACCCAGCACCCTGGGAAGTAACAGGGGCAGCCGAGACCCCAGGGCCCTCCCGCTTACCCCGTGGGCCGGGCCTCGGGTCCAGGAGAAGCCCCGGGGCTGAAGGTGCCCGTGGCCGTGGCATTGGGGATGAGCCTTCGAAGCAGCCGCACCCAGGTGGCCACGTCGATGTTCATCTGCCTGGCGTGCTGGAACGCTTTCCCTGGGGACAGGGGCAGGCGTCACCCTCCGTGACGCTCCGGGACCCCCAGCCTCTCTCTCGCCCCCAGCCCAGCCCCTGACCTTGCTGCTTGGAGAAGATCTTCTTCTGCCTCCGGAGCCGGGGTATCCTCTCAATGACAGGGTTGTGGAAGGTGACCTGGGGGGAGGCCACCGGGTGAGGACCCTCGCCACCTCCAGGCAGCGTGGTGGGGGCCCTTGGGGGCACAGACGTGCACACCCCTAAGTGTCGGTGTTCCGATCACTGTGGCATCACATCCACACACAGAGTACTGTGCAACGTGTGAAGGGTTATAAAACCAGCCGCCTCCTGAAGGGCCACCTTGGAAAGGCGAGAAGCTGGTGACCAGGCCTCCGTCTGGGGTGGGGAGGAGTCTGACCCAACCAGATGGACACACATCTCCAGCCAACAGCCATGTCATCAAGTGTCCTGATTCCCCACGTGCAGTCCCAGCCCAGCAGCGTCCACATCACCTGGGGACTTGCTGGAAACACAGGTCGGGCCCCCACCTGGACCCCTGGGGGTGGCTCCCAGCGGCCTGTACTCGGCAAGCCCACGAGGTGACGCTGGGGCCCACCCATGGGGGCACCACTGCTCTAGCTGAACTGGCCTGACTCCAACATGGGGCTATTTAAGTAAAATTAAAATTCCAGTTCCCCAGTCACAAGGGCCACACTTCAAGTGGCTGCGATATTGGACGGGGTGGATGTAGTGCATTTCCACCCACAACAGAACGCGAGTATTGTAGGCTCATCCACAACAGAACTGCGGAAGGTTCTACTGGATGGGGCCTTGGGAGAGGCCCAAGAACAGAAGAGACCATTACAAGAAATTCTTGACGGCAAGCAGGAGCGCTGTGAAGGAGCCCTGGCCGCCCCCCTCACCTCCCCCATCTGGACTGTCTTCCTGACAGCCGATCAGTCACCACCCTGCACAGAACCCATCCCTGCCCCCTGCCCCTTCCCGTCCATGGTCCTGATGACAGCCCGCGGGAGAACTCGCTCACGGGGAGTGGACGTGGGGAGATAGATATATACATACAGCAGGGCGCGTGTGTGTGCAGGGCAAGTTTAAAGAATTGTTGAGGACGATTTTGGCTCAAGGAGGGGCCAGTGATGGTCTTCCTCTGAGCCCAGTTTCTTCCTGAGTCCGAGGTGACTAATGACAGTCCCTCTCGCATGGGGCTGCTGTGACGATGAAAGAGGTAATGCCAGCAAAGCAGCGAGGACAGAGCTGGGCTCAGCCTTCGGGGGGCCACCTCGGGAGGCTACGTAGAGCGCGGGCTCTCAGCAGGGGCACGGGCAACGTCTGGACACCTTTTGGATTGTCACAAATGGGGGGGGGGGCGCTACTGGCTTCCTGTGGGTGGAAACCAGGGCTGCTGCTCAGCGGCCGACTGTGCAGGGTCAGGCCCCATGTGCCTAGTGCTGAGGACCCCGATGTGGACCCCAGCACCACTGCGGACGCAATCTCTCGCCTCAGCTGTGGCTCTGGTAGCAATCCAGGACATGTCACCAGGTTTTGCTTTTCTTTCTGGATTGACAAAATTTTGTTACTTCTTTTTTTTTAATATCTTGCCTCAGAACGAAACCCATCCCAGGTTAAGTCATGTCACTGATGTGACTAATTATACTCATTTTTCTATCAAAGTAAGCATAAGCAAGCACTTATCGAGTAAACACTTATCCTCCCCCTCTAGAAAACTAGGAGGAGATGCAGGAAGCATTTCTCAGGGCCAGGGGTGGGGCGGTACCTCGGCCACCAGGCAGCCCTGGGGTTCCATGTCCAGCTGCACCTCGTGCCTCTCGTTGTCCAGGAAATCCTCCAATTTCAGGAATTTGAGGGCGCACAGGCCCCGCTGGTCCCGCCAGAACACGGCCAGCTCCAGTTCCCGGGCCTTGAAGGGGAGGAAGAGGCCGTCACCTGGGGTGCCCGAGGTCCAGGACCCCTCCTCCCCCAAGCCCTGTCACCCCAACCTCGCTCACCCGCTCCAGCTCCAGGGTGAAGCACTGGTCCCAGGCGCTGAGGCCACATGGCTTCCAGGACGTCTGCCCCACCACTGTGTTGTCCAGCTTGAGCACGGTGCAGACCTCGCCTGGAGCGGGGCAGGGCTGGGGTCAGGAAACGCTGCAGGGGGTCATCTCTCGTATCTTATTAGAGAAATCCTCCCCTCCCCCCGGTACACTCTGCTTTGCTATCTTGACAAAGCTCTAAGGTTCTGCCTACCACTTAAGGCCTTTAATAGACTTGCAGTTGATTTCTGTGTACGGTGTGAGGTAGGGATCCATTTATTCTACATGCAAGTTCCAGCAATATACCCCTAAGTGTTTACCCTAGGAAAAATGCAGCAGGTGCACATCAGGAGATGCACAGATATAACGCTTATATAATGGCCTCAAACTAGCAACATCTCGCTCTCCGTTAACAGGAAAATTAACATATAAACTGTAATGTAGTCTTATTAGCTGAACCATGAAATTGCTGATATTCAACTATTTTTTACCTACAAAAAAAAAAGACAGCAATTTGATATGGCTCAGTCTAAGACAATGAACCATTAAACAGGAATAAAAACAAACGGATGAATTATAGTTTCATGTAACAATATGGATAAGTCTCCCAATGCTGTTGAATGAAAGACGCCATTGCCGTGGAATATGTTCTGGATGATTCCATGTCTACAAAGTTCAAACACCAGGCTAAATTAAACCATATTGTCTGAGATGCATACATGGGGGCTAAAACTACAAAGAAAAGCAATGAAATGATAACCATAGAAATCAGGAGAGTAGCTACCCCTAGGACAGAGGAAGGGGCTGGAATTGAGGAGGAGGCTTCCAGAGAGTTCTATTTCTTGACCTGGGTGATGGTAACATGGCTGTCTGCTCTATTGTTATTCTTCCTTTATACATACTTTTTTGCACATATGTATTTGGTTTTTAATTGTAGTAAAATTTACATAAAATTTACCATCGTAACCATTTTTAAGTGTTCAGTTCAGTGGCACTATGTACATTCCCACTGTTGTGCAGCCGTCACCACCATCCCTCTCCAGAACTCTTTTCATCTGCCTAAACTGAAACTCTGTCCCTGTTAAACATTAACTCTCCATCTCCCTCCCCCAGCCCCTGGGAACCGCCCTTCTTCACATCTATAAGAATTTACTCCAGATACCACATATCAGTGGAATCATATTTGTCTTTTTGTGACTGGCTCATTTCACTTGGCATACGTCCTCAAGGCTCACCCATGCCGTAGAATGTGTGAGAATGTCCTTCCTTTTCAAGGCGCAATACTACTTCATTGCATGGATTGCCACCTTCTGTTTGTCTCTAGATAAACTGTTTATCAATAGGCACTTGGATGCGTCCACCCTTTGGCCATTGTGAGCAACGCTGCTATGAACGTGGTGTACACATCTCTCTTCGAGACCCTGCTTTCATCTCTCCCGGGTACACACCCAAAAGTGGGGTTGCTGGCTCAGGTGGTGATTCCACGTTCAATGTTTGAGGACCGCATACTGGCTTCCACTGCAGCTGCACCAGTTTACATTCCCACCAGCAGTGCACAAGGGTTCCACTTTCTCCACATTCTCCCTAAGACTTGTTCTTTTGCTTTGTTTATTTTTTCACAGTATCCATCCTAACAGGTGTGATGTACCTGTTTTTAAAGTGTTACAAACGTGGGCATCCCAGGAGCCCCACCCCCCTCGTCCTTCCAGGCCCTGGACGCCCACTCACTCGTATTCTCAGCTTCCGCTTTGAGGCTGCTCCGGCCACTGAGGCTTCCACTCCGGCTGTAAAGGCCCTTGGCTGGACGGCTCAGGAAGGGGGTGCGGCTGTCGGGGGTCCCAGATCCCCCCACCGAGGGTGAGGGGTTCCACGGGATGGTCTCTGGAAGGTCCCTGCAGCCCACCACGCGCACCTCCAGGGTCCCTGAGGGAGGGGCAGGCTCAGGGGGCCACATCTGGGGCAGGCTGAGGGGAGGGGACACAGGTGAAGCGGGCTCTTCCAGGAGCGGCCAGCACGCACGTGGGGGTCGGCGAGGGACACGCAGGGTGGCGCAGGGGTCCGAAGCAGGGATGGCTGTGCCCGGATGTGAGAAATAGGGGACAAGGGGGATGGGCGAGGCTAGGGTGGGCCAGGCGAGGAAGAGCTCTGCATGCCGGGATATAGGGACAAAAGAGAAGTTCAGGTGGAGGCCGGAGGTCCAGGCAGGAGGGGGCAGAGCAGGACTGGGGGTCCAGAGTAGGATTCAGAGAGCTGATCTGAGATCTAGGGGCACTGGGGTCTAGGGTAGGGCTGGTCTGGTGAGGCAGTGGCGGAGGAGTAAGGAGAGTGGGGCTGGCTGGCCTAGGGGGCGGGGTCAGAGGTTCAGGGCTGAGGGTTCTGAGAGTGAGGGGCTGGGCTGGGGGACCACTGCTGGAGGAGAAACACAGGGCCAGTTGGGGAGAAGTGGGGGAAGCGAGGATGGGGCGATGAGAGCAAGAGCCCAGAATCAGAGGTCAAGGTGGGGCGGGAAGTCCAGGGGGCGTGGGCTGTCTGGCCTGGGGAATGAGGCCCAGGGCTAGGAGGACTGGGGTGAACGGGGAAGGGAGGGAAAGAAGGGTGGGAGTGCAGGGTGGGGGAGAGTGGAGATCCGGGTCGGGGTCTCGGGGCCGGGGGACGCGGAGGGGTCGGGAGTCCAGAGCTGCGGGAGGCCGGGACCCACCTGTGAGCGGCGCGGGCTTGCACAGGGTGCTGTAGTGCGTGGCGGGGAAGGGCCCGGCCAGGCGGGCACTGAAGGCTGCGGACGAGGCCGCCGCGAGCTCCTCGCGCAGCAGCCGCCCCTTGGGGTGGTCGGCGGGCAGCTCCCCGAGCCTCCGCTCCAGGGCCTCCCGGAGCAGCCCCAGCTTCTGGTTGGACTCGGTCAGCTTCTCCTGGGCCTGCGGCGGGGGCGGGGCGGGCTGGGGTGGGCGGGGGCGGGGCCGGGGCGCCCCCCACAAGGGCAGATCCAGGCTCCTCCCCTGGACCGGCTAAGTCCTACCTGGGGCTCCTTCTCCCTGGAGGCCGGAGCCCCCAGACCCTTCACCAAGGCCCTCCTGGGTCGAAG